GGGGCGCGCGGGAGAGCGGGGGCGGGGCGTCGGCGCGCGCGCAGCGCGGCCCTGCCCGGGGAGGAGCCGATAGGGCCGCGCCCGGTCCTCCCCACCCTCGAAGCGCTGGGACTTGTGAATCTGGTGCAGGGGGCGGGGGTGTCCGAGTTGGCCGTCGTTGGAGGGGGCGCCAAGTTTCCCCAGCTGACTTGGAGCTAAGGATGGTCCCAGCTCTGCCGAAGACCTCGCTTCTGAGCCTCGGTTTCCCTACCAGCCCAGTGAGGGGCAGGAATGAGATACCGGTCCCGGGACTGAGATTCCGGACAGGCCACAAAGGTGGTCCTTTTTCCGTACTTTGTAAGGCTGAGCTCGTGGGTATATTTCAGCTCTCGTTTTGACTGATGATTACTCGGTGTGAAATAGCCAGCTTCTTCGGGACCAGCAGTTAGCGTAATGGCTATGTCGCTGAACTCCCATGTAGTCAGTCGACCGCGGTTTGAGTCCCGAACCCGGTGGCTTAAACTCAGGCCAGATGTGTGTGCGTGCATGCCCAAGATCCTGAGAGGAGAAGGGGTTGCGGTGTGGCCATCCCCTCTGGGGGGTGATTTCTCCTTTCTGTCTCTCTGTCTCTCTCTGTCTTTCTGGCGAGCGGAAGTGCCTGCGCCTTATACCAAAAACCTCTCCAAAAAAAGGAAGAAGCCGACTTCAATCCAGGTGTAAGAGGGTGGGTAGCGCATGTTAGACTCCAGGGAAAACGTCAGAAACAAACCGTTCTTCTGGTGCCCAATGAACCTACCAATTGCTATTGCAGGGTGGAACTTCCTTGTGTGGCTGTCCCATCTCAGGCCCCTGGGGTCACTGGGTTTATTTCAAGCAGGGCAGGGACACCCAGCTGGCAATGGATAACGAAGTGCGGGCACCTCTGAGTACACTCACCCAGGCACAGAGCCAGTGCGCAGGATTGCTGAGACCCCCAAAGCTGGGCGCTGGGAAGTTCTGCTGAAGGAAGCCCCAACCTTGGGGGGGGGGGGCATTGCCCAGAAAGTGCTTAAACCCCAGGCCCAGGCGATGCCCCCCTGGGGAAGACCTTTATTCTTCTAAGTTTGGAAAGTGATCATCGAGGGCAGTCCTCAGACCCAAGAAGAGCAGGGAAGGGAGTGCGGAAGGT